CCCCATGTGACATCTATGGCTTGACCTCCAAGTTTCCATGTTACCTTAATTTTTTTTTCAGGCTTAGAAAAAAATCTCTATAATGCTATAAAAATGATTAGTCTGTTATAATAATAATTATCTATTTAGAAAATAATGTTTATTTTTATTTTTTTTGTTTCATGTCGGTAAAACTAACAGACTTACCCCTACTATAAATATCGCATCTCATGCATTTGTATGATATAGAGAAATCAAGAACCAATGAAATATTCTGATTAGTTCATCTCTCTTGCAATTCCTTTTTCTCCCAAAACACAACAACACACAAATAATAAAATAATAAATTTATATATAAATATTTTATCTCACCATATATTATTTACAACACGTTATCATCCAGAAGCTCTGATTTTATAATGTGAGGTAAGATTTAAGTTATGGTTTTCAATAACTTTTATTATTGAAATTTTATTATTGTTTCGGAGTGAGAGGCTAGGTCTTCTCCATTTATTTTTCGGAATGATAGTTGTTGCCTTCTCCGACTGATTGTTAAGAAAGACTATGTCTTCACAATCAGAGAAACACGTGGTAGGTTTTACCTCCGTGAAAAAAGAGAGATCAAATAGATAACTATGTAACCTTGTATCTTGAATAAAAAGAAAGTGTCAAAATGGTAGACTAAGCCTACTCGGACCTTGAACAAAAAGAAAGATTAACATAGTTGACTATGTCTCCTTAAACCTTAATAAAAATGATCACTACTATGTCTTCTCAGATCATGAAGGGTAAGCCTCCAATTTTATTTATGCTCTTTAGATTTCTGCAATTTTATTTATGTTTTTAATTTCTACATTTAAATTTTCGTCTTTATTATATTGTTATAGGTGCTATTATATGAGTGCAGTTATCATATTGAATTTGGAAAAGCTCAAAATAAATGCCCTTGATATTACGAGAAATAATTATGTGACTTGGACAGTGGGTGCAAAGATGCATCTGAAATAAATGAGCTTTTAAAATCATCGATAAGTTTAAAAACTATATCGGATGAGAAAAATCCCTTAGTCATGAAAAACTATATCTAGCTTAATCACTCAAAGATCTCACGTAACCGATCTGTATAGAAAATCCCAAAAATTAAAAGAGAAAGGAAGTGAAGTAAACTTCATCTCTTATGAATCCGGATCATCTTTTCAAGGCTTGAATTTTGATCTTGATATTTTGGATTTTCTAATTGATTCAGAAAAGAAAAGGAAAAAAAAATATCAATGTGACATGATAATTATCTTCATGAAGAAGATAAAATTTATTATTTTATCAATTCATATTTTGTGAGAGTTGGAGGCCAGATTTTAAGATTTATGATGGAGATGTATATTTGAAAATACTTCATCGTATATGGATTATAGGTACAAAATATCTCTCCTCTCTTAAAATAAATATTATATCTGGTAATAATAAAAAAAATATTGTTGGTTCTAAAAGAGTTTATGATGAAAAGATGACAAAAGTATAAATGGTGGTAAATCTGAAGTTTACTGATATATGGTCGGTCATCTATTGCAATAATGTTATTGACATTATTGTGAAATTTGAAAAACCAAAAGTATTTCACATATAGCATGTCTTAAATAAAAAAAAAGGAAACCATTATGGGAAATGAATTACCAAAAAAGTTCATTGGATGTGATTTCTTTAAAAAGACCCCAAATGAGGATCTCACTCTAAAGGATTGATACATAATTTATCAAAAAAGGGAAAAACTGAATATGTTATTAGTTCTAGAGTGGGATTCAGTACGAGATTTTAAACATGGAATGTCATCATCTCGAGGGGGAGAATTAAAGAATCCTAGTGAGTGGAACATTGAGAAAATTATGTTCTCACTCGAAAAAGAACTTGTTAAACTAAATTCAAGTAAGATGATCCCCATGATTGGGTGTAATGCAGTTGTGCATGTAATAGAGTCATATACAATCCAAAAGGGATAAAGTATATAAAATAATTAGAAATATGCTCGCAAGGTTGCTAGAAGCACATAAGCAGCTGATGGAATGAAATATGAGAAATGGATTATCATGAAAGTTATGTAAGATAATCCATTTATAAAATGGTTGCCAGATATTTTGATGAAATAATTAAGTCTCATATTCTAGCTGAAAATGCTCCAATAAAAAAAATGTGTCCCAAAAAGATGATATATGAGTATATGGCACGCTAGAGACGTGATAGACCACTTCGGTTCCAAAGAATCCTTGAAAAGGAGCAAATATATAAATAAAGGATGAATCTCATGATGAGACCGTTGATATGGTTAATATGTAATCAGGTACCTGAGTAAATCATCGATGATGATAAAGAGATCTCGATAGCAGTACATATTAAAAGATGGAACCAAAGAGAAAATAGATTGTTGACAATAAATAAGAAAGCGCTATAAAAATGAGGATTATGAATATACCTCTGTGTATGAGTGTATAAAGAAATGATTGGCCAAAAGTAAAGTGAGGCAATCAAGTCAATATAAAGCTCGTTAAAAAAACAAGAAAATTTTGAACCACAAATCCAAGCATCTAAAAGGTATATTTCTCTAGAGAATGAAATGAAAGATGACCTTGAGGTATGAAAAATGGTTTGTTCCAAGATCACTGGAGAAAATTTAAAATAGATGCAATATGTTGATATGTTTGGCAGGACATAAACGACTTAAGTTGCATCTTGATATTTAGTAGTCCCCGGAGAATTAATGATGTTCTAGGAAACGATAAAACTCTAGAAGAGTTATACCAAGCCGTATATAAGTATCTGAACCGGTACTGATGATATGTTTATGGTGCGGTTTACCGATTGCCATTTCAATGACGATGAATTTCCAGCGTTAGGGGGAGGAATTAGAGAATTTCCTAAAGAGATTACATGGTGTTCACCATCGTTGTTACACCTTGATCCCCCTACGAATCAAAGAGAGCTGCAAGTTCAAAATATTGTGCATTTGCATAATTTGTCAAACCAGTTACCAGATATGTTCACAGATACGAGAAGGGTGACGAATTCATATATACCCGCTGAAAATGTTTCATCAAGAGTTTTTGTTCCTGAAGGACAAACTGATGGAGATACATTGAATGAACCTAGGGTTCAGTTGAAGAGGGGAGACCAGTGGGTTCTAAAGATAAAAATTCCCGAAAAAAGTTGGTTGACCAAAATAGAAAGAGTCCAGAAGAACCTGACTGAAAGATGTCTAAAAGAAGGGATAAATGGAAAGGTTCCAGAAGAACCTAATACTGAAAGATGTCTGAAGGAAGGTATAAATGGAAACGTTCAAGAAGAACCTGATACTTAAAAATGTCCGAAAGAAGGAATAAATGAAAGTTCCAAAAGAACCAAATAAAGATAAGGATCCAGATGACGAGAAGAGAACAAAAAATTATGAGATTTTCATCAACTACGCTTGTGATGAAAAGTTACGGATCAGAAATAAGATAAAAGGGGTTGATGGAAGGTTCTCCTTTTCTGTGTCCAATGAGATCGAACATAGAGATGATGATCCTGATCAAAGGCCCATTTCAGAATGTCTTTGGACTTATAGTCATAACGTCTGAGAATATAAATCATATTGGGCATTCGTGAGAAAAGTAACACGATATAAAGCCTGATTAGTTACCCAAGGTTTTTCTTAAAGACCGGGAATTGATTTTTCAGAAACTTATTCCCTGGTAATGGATGCAATTACATTTAGATCTTTGATGAGCCTAGCGGCCTCTGAAAATGTAGAAATGCATCTCAAAAACGCTGTGACTGCATATTTGTATGGATCGTTGGATAATGATATATACATGAAACTCTCTGAACGATTGTAAATGATAGAGGCATTGAAAGAAAA